TGCTGACGGGGAGTGCCACGTCTGCGACGAGGTTAACGGGTCGGACCTTTTCTTCGCGGTTTTGGGTGGGCTCGGGCAGTTTGGGGTTATCACGAGGGCGAGGATCCCGTTGGCGCCCGCGCCTGAGATGGTAAGCTCACCGCCTCACCGGGGGGATGATGATTGGACTGGAAATTGATTAAGCTCATGGAGGGGCGGCTTAATGCAAAAATGAACCTGTCTTGATTTCTAGTATGATCATAATTTTAACTTAAATATATTGCACATGCAAATTAGTAATCGAAATTCTCTTTGAAATGCCTATGTGGGCTCTTTTTTTTTTTGTTCTTTAGTAATTTGTACATGTAAAATTCGTTGGGTAGAAGGTCATGTTTTTTTTTTTATTCCCTTCTCTTTTTTTGTTTTTGTTTTTTATTCTAAACGGCTAAATGTCAGTTTTCGCTTCCCAAATTTCTTATAAAAATTAACCAACTGCAGTTTTCTTCATTTTTTTTTACAAGTGAACTACTTTCGCACGGAGAGGCAACAGTTTTATGCAAAAAGTGTAGTTCATCTAATGTTTTAATTTATTTAAGTATACTTTTGAGTACTTTAAACTATTTCACATGCAGAATCTAAGTTCTGTTTGAAACGGCAAAGTGTGGCGATTAGTTATTTTTCGCGTGTACAAGTGATCTGCAAAATAATAAACCAAGTGTACTTTCCTACATCATTTTTTTGTTTTTCCTATTACGAGTATTATATATTGTTACTAAAATCGTACATGTTGTGTTTTTATATAATTATTATTGTGGGATGATTGCGCATTTCTTTACTATTTTCTCGTCGTACAAAGTGGACATTCGTTGTCGGACAAGGTTTACAAATTCAATAAAGATTCAGTCCTAATCTGTAAACTTCGCCCAATAATTTACCGAATTTTTAAATTTATTTGTTCAGGTGAAGTGGATAAGAGTAGTGTACACTCGATTCTCGGACTACAAACAAGACGCGGAGTTTCTCGTAACCCGACCCGAACCCGAATCTTTCAACTACATCGAAGGCTTCGTGTTCGTCAACTCCGAGGACCCCGTTAACGGTTACGGATCCGTTCCTCTCTCACCCGAATGCGGATTCGACTCGACAAGGGTCCCCCTTGACTCTGGTCCGGTCCTCTACTGTCTCGAGGTCGCGCTCCACCATCAACAAGGCGACAACGTGGATAAGGTAAATTCTAATATAGATGAGGGGTATTTTCGTCTTTATGTACCTCCTGATTGTTGCGTACTGTTCTGTATGTCCCCATCGTCTATCTTCTGCTTGGATTTTCTGACACGTCACGTTATCCGAAATACGACCCTCGGATTTGGAACTAATTACGGGCGTGCCCCCGACGCGCCCGTGATGGGGGGATCCGCTCTTGTTGTTTCGTTACATTCATTAAATTTGTGAAGTTTCAAATAGACCCCTGAGCATTTTCCTCCGTGCAGAAAGCGGCCGAGATGTTGCGCGCGTTAAGGTACGTGCGCGGGTTGGAGTTCAGCGCGGAAGTGGGTTACGTAGAGTTCCTCACACGCGTGAAGAGGGCCGAGACCGAGGCACGTGCGAATGGGAGCTGGAATGCTCCCCATCCCTGGCTCAATCTCCTTGTTTCATCGTCAGATATTGCTGATTTTGATCGAAATGTTTTTCAAAATATTTTGAAGGATGGAATTGGCGGGCCCATGTTAGTGTACCCTCTAGTTAGGAGCAAGTAAGTACATATAAGTTTTTGTAAATTTTTAGAGAAGTTGAGGGGCTAGTTGCATAATTTGAGTAAACGTAGGAAGTATAATCGTGTGGGATTTTGAGATACGAAACGACACGAGTGCCATTTCTGGAAAGGACAAGGCAAGGGGCATGTGTCACGTGCTCGTCATATTCCTCTACAGTACGTCCCCACCGTTGTGACTTGTGGGGCGCCCTCTTTTGAATACACCCGTTTGGCGGGCGCACAAATGCTAACCCGCTGTTTTGCAGGTGGGACCCACGGATGGCGACCCCGGATAGCGCAGATATTCTACCTTGTAGCGCTCCTGCGGTTCAGCAGACGCTTCCCGGACGGGCCGCCGTGTCGCAGGATCTATCAATCAGAACCGTTCAAATACATCGGCGTGCTTGCGAGACAACGGCTACGATTTACAAGATTGTACCTTCCGCACTACATTCGTCGACCGTAAGCGACGGTACGATCCAACGGCCATCCTCGCGCCAGGTCAGCAGATCTTCAGGAAGAGGGAGAGCTAAAAAAAATGAAAAAGGTGATGCGTACTTGATTGGCGATTATTGGTTCGAACGAAGGAAGGGTGGTTGTAGTGGGGGGTGGGGCCCGGGGGGTACTTTTGTAAAAACTGTTTTGGCTTTTGGTCGCCAATTTGTAATTCTTTTTTTGTTGTTTTTTTTATTTTAGAAATTTATATGGTATTTTGTTTCCATGTGTCTAATGATTTGGCTTTGGTGGGGTTTTATGCGATCACAAGGGGGGCTAGAGATCTAATCAGCACAAGAAATGGCTAAAAAGATTTCCTTTTTTTTTTCAAGGAGAAATGAAATTAAGTTTGGATAGGAGAAAGATACGTACGTAAGAGATGATGCAATGTGCATGCCAACTTTATGTTGTTTCTTAATTAATCATTATAATTGGAGTTGGCTTGGGAATTTAGGCACAATGTCATGACTATTTGAGTGCTTGGGAATTTAGGCACAATGTCATGACTATCATGATAAAAAGTGAGGAATATCAGAATATTTTATTTTAAGTAAATAGAAACATCATTAGAAGGGGATTTGATTATGACTCCTTCAAGGTACTAAAAAAGAGGTCGAAAGATTGTTGAGCTGATGACATGTGAACAGTATACGACAATGGACACAATAAATAGGCACATCACAAAACCAAAGGAGTTGGAGAAATTGTTGAGCTAATAATTACATGTGGTCTGTACATGACAGGGCTGTAAAAACGAACACAATAACTAGGCATATCAGGGAATCAAGAGGGGTCGAAATATTGTTGTGCTGATAACATGTGAACTTTTTTTTTTTTTGAGAGAGAAAAACAAGGGATATACCCTGTTCATTAAAATCAAAAGTATGTTTACAAAAGATGCGTAATCTTAGCGTAATCTTCAAAGTTTGTTCGTTGAGATGGAAATTAACTTTTGAGAGGGCCCTCCTAATTGTCACTAATCTCCCTCATCGGCTAATGAGTGTGTGAACATCCCTCAAGAGCTTCAGAAGTTCAAGCATTGGCTTTGATAACATTTAATTAAACATAAATTATATTTCAGTGGTATTTGACTCGTCTGTTTTGTACTTGAATAACTTGAACTTTTCTGCGACATTGGTTCTGTTTTCTACATTGTAGTGCACGTTTTTTATTGAGTCGATAGATGTTCCAAATATTTTCTCGTATTTTATTAGTCCTGGAAATACAGTAATATTCACTGCCGATAGTGGGTAACAGCGCAAGACATATATTCATCTTGATGTTATGGTGGTGGACAGAGTTGAACAAGCTGTTCATAGTGGTGGTGTCGTCAACCCCACACCGAAAGAAAAATAAATAAATAAATAAATAAATAAGAAAATAAAAAAGAAAATAAAATTTGACTTTATTATCCATTGAAATATTTTTAGTACCACCTTACTTCTTAAGCTAATATTTTTTCATGAGTATTTTACTAAATTTTTTAATTATGAGAAGAAAATGATAGTTCAAGGGATAATTAAGGCAACGAGTGAAAATAGTACAAGAAGGGTAAACATGGGACGGAATTAATGATTCAGGAATAAGATGGATTAAAAATAGCTTAAGGGTATATGCAGAGACAAATCTACTTGCTTAGCAGCAAATAGAAACGAGTCAAATTAAAAACTTTATTGGGTATTGATTGAAGCATGACTAATTAAACTAAATAAATTGCATGACGATAGTTAGGGGGGTTAATTATTTATGCTTTAACACGCTCCTGCAGATTGAGGCCTTTTTTATATAATGAAATATAGACTTATGCAGTTGTGTTAATTTTTTAAAAATATACTCTGATACCGTATCAAAAGACCACGCCACTACACGAAACTTCAAAACTAATGTGTAGTTTTGAAATTTGATGCAATATAGGGCACATTTAAGTGGAATTTGAAGAATTTTGATTGCCGTCTCGTAGAAATATTAGACAAGGACTACTAATAGTCATCAAAGGAAGCGTTTAAGCTACAATAGTTACCATTAGGATGCACGTTAGACTGCATTCCTTTAGAAGGGAAATTTTAACTTTTTTGGTGCTAAAGATAAAGTAATTGAGAAAAAAAGGAGGAGAAAAATGTGCAAAATTTTTGAGTGAATCAATAACCTCACGTGCTTGGACCACGCTTGTGATTAGGAGCACGCATGTGCATGTTAACTGCAGATGACATGTTCAAACAAAAGTAGAAAGTGTTAGGGCCTGTTTGGATACCTTTAGAAAACTAGAGTATTTATGACACAAAATAGAAAGTGGTTATCCACCTCACCACTTTTCATTCGAGTGTTTACATTGTTTGGTTAGTAATCTTTGTGAATCCTAAAATAATAGTATTACATTGTTTGGATAGTATAATGTAAACTAGAGTATTTATGACACAAAATGGAAAGTGGTTATCCACTTCACCACTTTCTACAAGGTTTTGACTTTTTTATTATTTTTTAGACACATTTATGACATTGTGTCAGCTTTCCAACAAAATAACTCCTAATTTTGGTAATTTTGCTTTCGGTGACACCTCATCAAAAGGTGTAAGCTTTTCATGTAAAAAAGAATTTAAACAAACAATGTAAAGTCATGAAAGCTGACATTGGGACCCATTTTTTTTTCAGTTTCCATCATTTTACATGGTAAAAACATACAAACAAGCAGCCCCTTAGTGCATGCAAAAATAGAGTTAATTTGCAATGTAAAGTTTTGAAACATTCTTTTTTGGGACACATAATTCCAAAAACATGCCTTATTTGTGTTTTCCGAATTCTATCAATTCAGCAATCTATTAGGAGAATGGATTCTATGGACCATCATTCAAGTCTACTCTTTGATGGCACTTTTACATCGTGCATTTTTATTATAACACTTACCCAATGCGTATATTATGGAGGTGTTTGGTTGCACAATTTTATAGAAAAGTTTTCTCAAAATGTCTGACATTAGCAATTGTGTAATTAAATTTTTTTTGTTGATTTTCGTAAACTGTGTTTGGTTCAAAAACGTTTTACAGAAATGTTTTCAGTAAAGTACATAAAAATATTAAAATTTATAGAAATCAAATTCCTTTCAAAATAGGCGGGAATCACCCAGAATCTAACACCACATTAACACTTTTCTATAAAGTTGATATTTTTCTATAAATTTAGAGCATGTTTTGTTCAATTTCTACAAATTATAAAAAAATTTACTATTTTCTATAAAGTTATGGGTCATTTTCTTATTTTGAACCAAACAAGCAAAGTACAAAAAATAAGAAAATTGATACTTTTTGACTTCTCAAAACTTTTCCTATAACTTTTTAAAGAAATACAAGGAAATCATATTTTGGATGGAAAACATTTCTTATAATTTGTAGAAATTGAACCAAACACCCCTTAGTCTGAGAGAAAAGGAGCTCTTCTAAGTCATTTTTTATTGTATTTTAATCCTCTCCAATTTAACTAGCTAGAGATTAATAACATTATTGTCTTAACTCTAGTAATTTTTTATTTATAATACGATAGCAACTTATTTTGAGTGAACAATATTAAAAAAAAATAATTTGTCTCGAAGAGAGAATTTCTGATGCAAACATCAAATTCCATCAAATTTTTTATCAAAAAATTGTCATCAAAACAAACACAAAATTTCTATAACAATTGAATTTTTGATATGAGACAAATTTTCTGTAAATTTCCTAAGAATTCAAAAAAAAAAAAACAAATATATTTCTGGTGACTTCGAGGCTACTAATTAAACAACAAACATTCTTTTGGATTTGGATCCACTCCACTACAAAAAAGTAGTGGAGATACCACTACTTTTAATCTCAATCGTTGATTATTTAGTAAGCGGTTATGATACAATCTAAATCTAACACTTACCATATCCCCGTGTATTGAATGCATTCCTAATTTGCACTAAAAGAAAAAAACCACAACAATCAATTAGATAATCAATGACTGTGATTATCTAGTGGCCCCTCCACTATTTTTTTGTAGTGGAGAGGATCCGAATCCCATTCTTTTAGCACATCATTGATATCTAAACAGTAGATACCTAGCTCTCTCTTTCTTATAAATCAAAGGGGGGAATATATTTTGTGAAGTTCCTAGAAATCAAAGCGGAGGAATGTATATGCTTTAGGAAATCTCACAAGTTAACCTTTTGAAGAGCGTATCTCTTCTTTTGATTGTTAGTGCTTGCAGTTCAACTCCTGACAGTGAGATTCTTTGTAATTTTTTTTGTTTGGATTCATTGGACGCTAACTTTCCTTGACAGTTGCACCAATTGGAGGCAACAAAAAGGCCGCAAAATAAAGTTAGCTACGTACCCATCCATCTATCAAGCAAACAAAACAAAGGCAAATCTATTTTTTGTTTATCCCCCCTCAATATGATATGATATTAATTCTCTCGCTAACTTGTTATTGTAAGCAAACTTTACTATTACAAGCATGAAGGTAGCCCAGTACAACTGAAGTTGGTGGCTCAATTCCATGCTTGTGCATGTTGACAACGACATTGGCTTGTCGAAATATGAAATTTTGGGTGGATTGTAAATTTGTAATACACGACAATATTATTATCAAGCTAATGACAACATTTCTCCTAATTAATTAGATAGAGAATGCCATGCATCTGTGGGATGTTGATTAATACATTAATACATTTTCTTCCTTTTTATTCCTTGCTGCTTAATTTCACATTAATTTGAGGTTCTTTTCTGTTAAATTTATATCACATGCGACCTAAATGCAAGAGCTTTGCTACAGGGATCCAAAATATGGGACCAATAGGAGGGACAAGTGAGGTGTCCCCTCCTATTGGATAATGAGTTGGTCATCATTAATGATGGCCAACTCATTATCCAATAGGAGGGGGACACCTCACTTGTCCCACCTATTGGTCCCATATTTTGGGTCCTTAAGGAATTTTTCTAAATGCAATACAAATTTAACATAACATGTAAGGAAAATTTGACCGAGAGTGAGATGGAAGTGAAGCTTTAGGACATGAAAGTGTTAAAAATAATAAATTTAGGATATTAGGTGAGAAAAATGGATAAACTTTGGGGTACAAAAGCCGAAAATAAGTCTTTCAAAAATAATCAAACAAAAAAAATTGAAAGCTTTTCTAAAAGATAAAAAGGAGTCACATGCTCCTCCATGCATTATGTGAAGCACCCTCTCAACAAATCAAATTTATTACCAAATATATTTCATTTCATTAACTATCAAATTAATTGGTCAAAGGCAGATGTCAACCCACTGACAGCTAAGGTGAGGTCACCTCCTTTAACCTTGTAAAGAAACAAGAAGATCTCTTTCACGAGATGGGCATCTGATTCCCCATGCAAAATCTACTTTGGATTCTGAGGTATTATTATTATTATTATTATTATTATTTTGCATGGGAGCTTGCGCATAAAGGAGATCCTCTATTGGCCTTAAAAGATGGGGGAAGTAAATAAAGGAGAGGGGACCAATTATGAAGGATTTGAAGTATTTTGAAGTTCTCACCTCACCATGCAATTATAGCACCATGATTTCCCCTTCCCCAAACCACCTGCTCACTTCTTCGTACTGATTTTATTTGTTTCTTTCTTTTATTGGTTTGCCATTTGAAGTGACACACGTTACTTTGCTATTGGAATCTTCAAATTAAAAAATGAAAAAAAAATCTGTGATGTTACTTTTTTTTATTAACAATTCACCACCGAGTGACTGATTTCACCTTGATTACTATACTACAACAGGACTTAGAATCAGTGTACCGGTACCAATGTTGCTTTTTTTAGTGCACTATTAATTTTGAGATTCAGAAACCCGAGGTGCTTTTTCAAGGGAAAACATATAAAAAATAAAAAAATTTCCTATGATCAAGCTATGAACGTATTGTCTATTGATCATATAATCCTTTGTTTAGGAAAATAAATAAATAATAGACAAGACATGATGTGTAATACTCATAATAGGAAAGACTTATAATAAAGCATTATGTCACAAGTTGCAGGTAACAAGATTTCGGTTCATTTAATACACTAATATATATGTACTTGCACGAAGTACTATACACACACTGTAGGCGCTCATGGAGGCAAATCAAGCAGTCAGTCATATAATATATATCGTATGTCTGTTGGATTAAATTAAAAATAGAGAAGAAACATATTTTTTATTTGGTGGTCAATAGTAGTCTATTCAAGTATAATGCTTTTTCTATCATGGGATGAGCTTATCTCTAAATAAATTAATAGCAGCTAGTACACAAATTTGCTATGGATGAGCATGTGCATAGTCTAATAAAGATTTGCATGCAGCACAGAGAACTATAAATATTTCTTCCTTCCAAAGGACTCCATGCAACTTGTACTGCATGCAAAGCTTCCGATGCAAAGCACTAGGAAAATAGGACTAGGTTTTTGTGCTGACCGTGTCTCTTTTGACTTCACCTAAGATTGCATAGGGCCAATGGGGGATATTCTCACGACTCCCCACAGAGATTTTTCTTTCTCAAGCTTTGAACCTTTGAAAGTGGGGTTGGCAGTCCTAAAAGTAAATAATATTTTTGAGATGAGGAGAATATGTGAAATGTTGCAAAAGAGCACTCTATTGGTGTTCAAACTTTAGACCGCTGAAGGCATCTTGTGCAAACTCGGTAGTGCTCCCTTTACTTTGATAAGGACAACTGCATGGAGATTATCCAAGTAACTGTGTGGCTGCAAGTACAGATTAACCTCTTAACATTTTGATTAGTCTGAAGTTAACATCAAAGGTTTGAAAATGCTGTATGATGAGGTCCAAGTTGAGTCCCCGGCTTTTTGAAAAAGTGCAGGTTATTAAATCGCAGCTTGAGATAAACCACAAGCAAGGGTCAATTATCCAAAAGAGCAAAAAGAAATTCCCATCTAGAAACACATAACGAAGAATTCTTGTTTGCTACAGAATTCTTTCATATTGGTCAATCTCATTATGTTTAGCTTGGAACAGATCCCTGAAATCATGATTGGACCATGAAATCCCTGAAATCATAAAAGTTATTTTAAATCAATCTCGTTTTCATATTCTATTATTAGTATATGAATTTAATTTTTTCTAGTAAAATATTAACCATAATCAAGGTTTAGAGAATAAGAGATAAAGCTCACATACACTTTGGTTTTTCCTTTTTTGTAGTTTGATTTATTTTTCTCTGAAAAAATCAACAGAAAAAGAAGTCTCAAATATTCATACATTACTAGGTTCGTCGTTAAGGAGTTTAAAATTTTCCTATATTATTGGTTTTTTTTTCCTTTTTCGTGATTGAAGAGACAGTAGTTGAAAGACGATTTCTTTGGCAGTCCTCAAGAAATAATGAATTAGAGTTTCTGGTTAGCAACAACAAATATAATTTGCGGGATTTGTACAACTAAATAATATAGTTCAGAATTTTTTCCCCCACAGTACACATAATTAGTAAAGCTTCACTTCATCAGCATAGCAGCAGTCACTGCTAAAAAATTAGGCATCCTAGACGGAAAATTCCGTCTAGGATACATAGAATTCCGTCTAGGATGTGTATCCTAGACGGAATTCCGTCTAGAATGGCCGTCTGGGAAGTTTCCGTCTAGAATACTGTATTCTAGACGGAAATTCCGTCTAGAATACATCCTAGACGGAATATTCTAGACGGAATTGAAAACCGTCTATAATACATTCTAGACGGATTATTCTAGACGGAAATTCCGTCTAGAATACTGTATTCTAGACGGAAAAATTTTCCGTCTAGAATGAGTATTCTAGACGGAATTTCCGTCTAGAATACTCATTCTAGACGGAAATTGGTTTTTTTATTTTTTTTATTTTTTTATTTAAAAAAGGCATCCTAGACGGAATTTTAGTATCCTAGACGGAATTTCCGTCTAGGATACTGTGCTACAGTAAATTTTTTTAATTTTTTTTTTTTTATTTACAGAGTCTACTTTGGGTGCATGTACACAATATTGAACAACAAAAAATTATATTCATATCCAACACAATCTAATTACATTACAATATCAAATCCCATTATATTCAAATAATACATTCACCAAAATAGTAAAGAGATACATAAATTGTTTACAAACTTTTACATAAATTATTTACAATGGCTATGACACTGCAGAAGCTTCTTCAACTCCTTGCTGAACTTTCCGCTTCGTTTCACACACTCCATTATTTCTTGCCTATATCAAGGGGAAAATATTTTCCATAAGTAACCAAAAGACATAATTGACAGTATATTGCAAAGAGAGGGAGAACAGACCGCGATAAAGGATGGTCATCACACCCTAAAAACGTTTGACCTCTAAAGTTTTTCTTCATGATTGCAATTGCGAGAGATGCAGCATCCTAGTATGCTAAATTGATGTAAATGTGTTTAATCAAAGCAAAGTATGCAAAAACTTGAATATTTCATTCATACATAAGAATATGCAGTCCGCCTCCGTCCAAAATGTGAAGGGACCAAAGCAGCTAGCTGTCACATTTGCTGTTTAATTCATCGAATAATGTTTTAAAACACCATTCGCAAGCCATAGCAACAAACGTTGTTCGATAACCTCAAGTTTACATAACAGTTGTCCATTTCCTCATGTCAGATTCGATCAATGAATATTTGTAATCTCTATACTATTATTTGTATTGATTCTCTGACACAAGATCACAAGCTTAACAAATGTAAATGACATAAAGTATCATATATTAATACAAACCAAGCCAAAAGAACAATAAAGAGATGCAATGTAAATAATTAAGCACATAAGTTCATCATAAAAGGTTCTTTCTAGCACTCCAACAAACGTTTTACGATATTTATCTCCACTAACAAAGATAAAAAACTGATCATAAAACTGCAAATTAGCCGACACTACTTATAATTGTAATCCTAGGTTTTCGAAATTAAAATCAATCGCATAATTAATTTACTTTTCGCAATTAAAATCATTAGGAAAAAAAAGAAAAAAAAAACAGAATACGGACCTCGATGAAATCCATGAGCAAGAACTCCGGCATCCACCTCGGCGGCCGGACCATCGACCGCCTAATAAGCTCCATCAGATCCTCCGGTCGCCTCGGCAACAAAACATCCGAAACATCCCTCCCCTCTCTCTCGACAAGCTCCCTCCTCTCCTCCTCACCAGCGACGATCCCCGCCGTCATCACCACCACCCTCTCCACCGCCCCCTCCCCCGCCATCTCCGCCACTCTATACGCCACAAACCCGCCGTAACTAATCCCCGCTACGCAGTACTTGTCGACCCCCAATCTCTTCATGGAATCGACCAAACACTTGGCCTGGAACTCGACGGAGCGGTCCGAAGCGGCGGTGGTCGAATCGCCGAAGAAGAGGAGGTCGGGGATGTAGAGGTCGAAGGATCTGGGGGAAAGATAGAGAGCGGGAAGGAGTTAGAAAGAGAATTGGGGAGGGGGGAGGGGGGAGGGGGGAGTGGGGTTCTTAATATATTGATTTTGGGCTGAAAATTTTGGGGGGAGAAATTTCGATGTGGGGGGAAATTTTAATGGGTTAATTTTTTTAAATGAGCCAAAATATCCTAGACGGAAATTTCCGTCTAGGATGAGTATCCTAGACGGAAATTTCCGTCTAGAATATTTGGTTATTTATTAAAAAAATAAAAAATAAAAATACCGTCTAGAATACTATTATAGACGGAATATTCCGTCTAGAATACTTTATTCTAGACGGAAAATTTCCGTCTAGTTTAATACATTCTAGACGGAAAAAATTCCGTCTAGAATGTTCCGTCTAGAATACTCGATTTTCTACTAGTGAGTTTCCAGGAGAAATAGTCCTAAAACAAATTCATTGGTAATTACACTTTCATTGTAGCCAATTAGCTTAATGTTTAAACAAATCATTACAGCAGTGATAAACACAGGAGAGCAGAATGTAAGATTGAAGTAACAAACCCTGAGAGCTTCAAGCTTCAGGTCATATTAGTTAAATTATCATCGTCAGGGTCCCATAAAATTCTCCAAAATCCAATAGCGTCTTTTAGAACTCTCCTCATATAAAGAATCAGTACAAATTTCCTACGAGCTTCTATCTTTACAACAGGATCTTGACCAAAATGTCCAAAAAATAAAAAAAATAAAAATGAAGTTGCAAACCGAAGTGATCGATATTACATAAACCATTTAAATTTGTGAATCCATTGGGATTCTCCAGATAACAAGCAAATATTGTTGGGAGTTTCCAGTTGCAAACAGAGATCCCGCATTAGATTTTTCAATGGCCAAGTTTCTTCCATATATAGTTTTTGGAAGCAGCAAGTGACTTTAATTTTCCAAAGACAAAACCCGTCTTCGCAGGGTTACCGTCTACAAGAGAATTTTCATATATGTCTTTACACTCTTGCACCACCTGATGAAAGAACAAATCAATTCTGTTGATTACAATGGAAAGGTGATTTTAGTTTCATTTATGGTTCTATAAAAGATTATGTATACTTTGTTAGTGTCCGACTTGGATAAGTAAACATATTGCAATTTAAGCCCTTGGCCCTGTTTAGAATAGGTTTACGGAAGAAGGATTAAGGAGAATGGTTAAGCTAGTTAACCCATTTGGCAAAAGAAAGGGATTAGACTGCATAACTCATTTGGTAGACTTATCCAATCCTTTTGCTATTTTAGTGTTCTGGAATAGAGAGATTAGTCCATTTTTCAAATAAATAGAGGTTGTTTTTTAACCAGTCTAAATACACCTAATTTTGAGGCGTTAACTCTTTCTAGAAAGCCTAAAAGGCTATCTCTCACTTTATGCCGTGGTTATTTTTATGTCCAATAATTTAAGATTAAAAAAAAGGTTGCCAAAAAAGACCTTATTACTTCTCTAACAAAGACGTTGGAGAGCAATGAAGTTTCCGGGATTGAAGCTAGGACACTCATCTATGAAGAAACTACAAGAGATGCAAATCTGTATATACCTAGAGACAATGGAGTTACTGGGATTGAAGTCATGACACTCATCTTGAAGAAACTACAGGAGACACAGGATATAGATTTGCCGACAGGTGAAATAACATGAAACTGAACCCATTTGAATCTAAGAGACCATCACTCTTACGAATCATCTTGGGTATAGGATGTTATACAGTTAATTTACCATACAATTAAACTTATTGTTCGAAACAGCATGCAGTGAAAACAATATCACTCCAGAACCTTTTAGGAACAAGCCTATAAATCAGTGTAGGAACCAAGCCGCGACAAAAAGTTCTAAAGTGATACCATCAAATGCAAATCAAAATAAGATTTACCTCTTTTGCATCCTTTCGTGGTATACCCTCTCGCAATCCGACAAGTTTCTCAACCACCTCAGGCTGCACATGAGTAAGAACATATTAGGAACTACATAATTGGAGGACTTGTATGCAAGAGCAGAAAGGTTATTTCAATTTATTTAAAAGGTAAAAGACATCCTGATCTGATGTTTGGCAAAAGAAATTACTGGGCAATCTGGTTGGTGTTCCAGAATATTTGTATAGATGAGAGATCTGATGTTTGGCAAAAGAAATTACTGGGCAATCTGGTTGGTGTTCCAGAATATTTGTATAGATGAGAGTGAAGACATCCAGGCTCTCAGCTGACGCTGCAATCTGGTTGGTGTTCCAGAATATTTGTATAGATGAGAGTGAAGACATCCAGGCTCTCAGCTGACGCTAACTCCCTCAGATCACTTAGAATACGCACTCTGCTTTCAACTTTCTGAACGAAAATCAGATTAAGGTTAGAACAAAAGACAAATTAAGGATAACGCAACAGGAAAAATTAGTTGCAATAAGAGCTATACATCTAGTAACTTGATTCTATAGGAACCATATGAAAACAGCCCACAACATATTTTTATGAACTTTTTTTTTTGAGAAGATTTAAAAAAGAAAGTATGACAGTCACATTCGTGTTTTTAAATCATAAGAGCTTATACATCAGCTTATGAGATGGAAATTTCACCACAAAAAATCGCCAAAAATTTAGCCAGATAGGCTGCGGCCCTTGTTAGCACCAAACTAGAAGCATGGTTTGGAAATTTTATGAACAAGATCGGGTTTAGGTAAGCATAAACGTCAGTAGTTAATTACAAGATTCCATAGTCTAATAGCTGAAAAACGATACCAGCTCTATTAACCTCTTCCTTTCATTTTCATTCTTTGCATCTAGGGGTAGAAAACAACCAAATCGACTCGAATACCATAGTATGTGAAGTTTAATTCTATCTATTTTGTCTAATTTGAATTCGTGTTCATATTCGGACCGAATACTAAATTGGCGTTTGAATTCGATTCGAGTTAATACTAGCGTATTCGTTATCTATTCGCGAATACTCTGTTAGCTCAGCTGGTTGATCATTTAACTCCTAACCCAGAGGTCTTTGGTTCGAATAGGCCTTTTGCCGCTATTTTACACCTAAATGTTGTTATTTTTCCTTCTTAATCTACTTACCTAGTATGGGAATAAAAGACAAAAATGACAATATCTTGTATGAGGCTATTTTACATAAAAATAAACATTAATTAGAAATTTTAATCTAATTATAATTCATAATGAGGGAATAATTTTAGCATTAGATCTATTTATAGATTTTACATAAATAAAAATTAATTATGTGCAAGTTATTTTAGGATTAAACCCTCTTCTTTATTTTACTTTTATTCTTAGCTAATATCAGTTATTTCAATTTCCGACAAATACTCTACTACAACTAAATACACTCATGCTTATCTTGATAAAACTTAAATTTAACATATGTTAAAACTAGAAGACCTTAATCATATACTCAAATAATTAAAAAATCCTTTTATGATAGATATCTTGTTGTCTTTATATATACAGGAATGATATACATCTCAAGCACAAGTCTATAAGATTAGTATATTTGTAATAGGTTAAATTATTATGATCAAAATCAAAACATAAAGGAATATTTAATAATCAAACAAATCGAATATACATCTGGTCAAATTCTATTCGTTTATGAAGCAAATACTAGAATTTATTTGTTTATTTTTAAATGACCGAATACTTTGATGAATAAGTAAAGAAATGTTTGTTTATTATTGGTTCGTTTCCACCCCTATTTGTATCCTGGACTCCAATCCTGAGTTCTAAACTCAATCCACATTTGTGAACTGTGCAGTTCAAAAAGAAGAGATTCAACATCAGCTGTATTTCTGTCCGATATTAGCCAGAAAATGGTAAAAGTGCATCCATCAAGCTACAATGAGACTATAGGTTCAATGCACAGAACGTTTTACTCCTCAATTCTACCCATCAGCTGAAAAATAATCCTTTGACATGGGTTTCCAGCATCAATATAGACAGAAATGAAATTGTGAAGCTAACAATTTAATGCTCATCAGGTTAAAAACGCCCGGTGCAACCTAATTAACTAGAAATTGATTTAAATTTAAACAACTAACATGATATGGAGATACAACAACCATAACTTGAAGAGATAATAAAGAATACAACAATACTTACATTTACACTGATGTACTCCCTGAAGAAATCCAGCAATACCTCTTCATCAAGCCTCATGCGCTCAATGGTTTCCTCCTTAATGTAATTTCTCTACAGAAAGAGAAAGTGTGTGTTTTGAGACTTTAATACAGCACAAATAACAATCTCAGGGTAATGAGGTTTGACTAGGTTGCAAATTATACTCGAGGAATGAGGAACTAACCTGTGTGAGAAGATGATCTACATAAACAACAATTGTCTCTTCTAGACAGGCTTCCACAAACCTTTTGAATGACCTTTCTTCAATGTACCTAAAGAAACCACAGTAATCAAACATCAATATAGGTGACAAGAAAGTACAAGTGCTATATATGCTACTGTCAAAGTTGACAAGAAATGGTCACATGAGAAGCACAAGAAACAACCATGCCAAAATTTGCTACCATGAGCAGAAACAATATATTCAGATTCAACTTAGTTTGCCTTCATTTTGACTGCTGCAGAAAGTGCTTACCCCTTTACATCCAAATAATAGTCAGCGAACGTAGCAACAAGATACTCGGTGACCAGTCCTTCATACCAATCTGGAATCATAATGAAAATTTGGTTCACAAATCAATGTAATTCAACAGGAATGACTTTCCATAATTATTGTAAGGAATCCAAACAAGTCAACAGTGAAGCATATGAATAAGCAGCATGTAATTTCTAATTTTCTTCCAGTCTTTAGAGACTTGACTTGACTTATTGCATTTAAGTAGTGTTTCTTTTTATGTATTTTCATTGATCTGAATTGCTTTTATTTTGAAAAGATTTGTCAATTTTCACTGCTTGAATGTCTTTTTTGTACTTAATGTTTACATCTTGTACATAACATGTTTTGATATCTTGTCAGGGTTGATCCTTATAATGGTTTCTTTAATTCCTGTACAATATGTAAATTTGAATGAAAAATGACTAGATCTTAAGTATCTGATTGTAATTAGTTTGTAGCATGGTCTACAGGCTTTGTGTTGATGAATTATTATTATTATATTTATCTGCTTCAACATATTTTTTACCACTGCTTATAACCTTAAACCATCAACACATGTTCCACTTTTCTGTTGCCTTCCGCTTTTGTAATTTTTATTTCTAATTTATTTTAAAAATGTCTTTGGCATCTTTTGCCTCCAGTGCTCGGCTAAAATCCCTAGAGCCTAATCCCTAAACTCCAGCATCACTCCCTCTTTTATTGCTTTCCAACACGTTGAACGTAGCACACCATATAAAAGACATGTAAACAAACACAGAAATATATTGATGTATACACAAAGTTACACATATATTACATTTGAACAATAACAATAAGTCACAAATAGCCATAGTCTTTATTTAACATTTACATAGGAAAACATAAAGAACAAAAAGATATTTTCATACACAAGATGCTGAAATAGAATACCTTTCTGGTAAATTTTAACCAGCAAATCTTGTACACCAGGGTCTTCAAATATAACATTAACAGTCTGATGGATGGCTTCCTGCACAGAAATTAGAGGTTAACTAATACCTTCTTGCCACCATGAAGAGTCCAAGACAAGCTATACTGTTGATTACAATACAATTCTTTTTTTCCTTTTTAACTATTCATTATTTTCAGTGGAGATGGGGAGAATTTTCTGTTAACAGATCAGTTGTAGGCAACTCTTCAAGAAATCATGATTACAGAAAATTCGCATGTGTATCCAGCAGAAGTAATTTCCCTTTATGTCCAAGGAGGCACAGTCTGGAGATTCTCCCACATGAGAAATTGAACAAGAAGTGGCTACATATGCAGTGTGCACTAAGTCACTAAGTCGCTTCATTCTGCAAAACATTGTCATGCCATAGCCTACTGTTTTATTCGGCGTTCGTAATTTAAATGTTAATGGAGATTCTCCAACATAAGATATGTGCGGTGTGCACTAAGGCACTCCATCAACAGTCAAATTTCCATTTTCTAGCTAATGTCAGACATAAGTGGCTGCATATGTGGTGTGCACTAAATCACTTCATTCTACAAGACATTGTCATGCAGCAAATATTGGTATAAAAGACCGGTCATAGTAAAATGAAAACACAATCTAGTTACTGAACTATGGCCTTTGAGTTTGTTGCCCAAGAAATGCACAAGGAAATTTTCCTTAAATAGCATTATGATTCAACATGAGAAAGTCAATCAATTCAAGGTAAGCTTTATGAATAACACAAATGCAAAGAGAATTATGATATTCTATGTATTACTAGGTACTGGATGGCATGACATTCTTATAACATTTATAATGCTAGAATTCAAAATGCTGTGTGAATTTTCTTCTTAGTATATGGCTGGATTACAGGAAGATATTGCAGTGATGAGTCTGGAAATGAAAGTTAGACCGGCTTGTCAAATTCATTGGATTATGTGAATATAGCTAACCAACATAATGATTTATTTAAGTAAATAAAAACGTCAACTGTAACCAAACCTAGCTCGACCAAGCCTACGAACACTAAATAAAAGAGTAGGCTGTGTTTTACATAAGGAGGAGAAGGATACGAAAGCTCGACAAAAAGGAACATAAATTCTCTGTTAAGCCCACGAAATTTGAAGAAGAAAACAAATACCAACTATAGTTTCATTTGAGTTCTAAGTGGTTAAAATATGTACTCTGATAAACATAGCAGTCAGGCTGTCATAAAATAGATATGAAGTCATGTCAATGTATCCCTTAAAAAGGAAGTGATAGCTGCAAAAGACCAACTAAACCCAGGAGCAGAAGAGATAAACTCAATTACACAATGTGGTTCTAAGTTTCTAATGAAGTAGTAATATGTAAGCCAGGAATGCACACTGAAAGTGTTAGTTTGGCAATACTAGACATAATAACCCTTGAAAGTTGACAATGATCCATTTCAACTAATATCACTATGAGGCCATGTTCATATTGTGCAAAGCTTGTCTGCATCATTTAATCAGATACTAAATATTACTCTTTCGAGAATTGAATAAGTTGTGTACATTAATGAAGAGAAAACCATAATGCTTCCAAAATTTTCCACACTACTATAATTCTCGTTAGGCTTATGTGAAAAAACAACTTATCAATATTTAAATGATTCCTAGCGGTCTTCAATTATGCCATTAATTTATTTCTAAAGAAAGAAAGAAAAATTAACACGCTCTACACATACAGACCTTTGCAACCTCCAGGAATCCTTTGCAAGTATCTTCAAAATTAATCTGCAATACCAAGGGGAAGTTACCGATTAGCTAAGCTGTTTTGATGATCAGATTCCCATATTCTATGCACCAATGTCAACACATCCATGAACAAACATATATTGCATAAAAACAAACTAATATCTCAGGTTAAGTTTAACATATTCTCAACAGTGTCTTTGTCAAAAAATGAATCATCATTTCGCCAATAGGATTAACCTAATTATGAACTGAACAGCTGATTGAATGGACCTTCTAGAATTTACTTAAAAGCATGATTAAAATGTTGAAAAAGCAGTAAAATGGAAAATAGAAAAAATTGAGAAGAAATGAAGTTGTTCTCTTTTCCCTAACTATCCTCACAAAACCACAAATTTTAGTTGCAAACACTTGACTCCACAGTTGGGCAAATAAATATAGTAGGATTTTAAAGTAAATTTCAATCCAATGGGAAGGAAATATCATAAGCTATCTCTGTTCTCATTTTGAAAACCGACTATCAATTTCCTTCTATTAGGACTTTAAAGAACCGATGGTGTTACAATCAGCATATAGAGCTTTGTGATATAAACATATTTGTTTAAACCATTGATAATCTAATCAACAGAGGCATACATTACTGGTTGACACGAATTCATGAAATCTGGCTTCCCATTTAATTAACATTAACAAGAAGTAAATTATTAACACAATAACACTGCCTTTTAGAGCCAAATTTTGCAAAACTAGCATGACAAAGATTCCATTGAAGGAGAACACAAAGTCGCTTTCAACAAGAAGTTTTCAACAAGAAGTTTGTGCTGGGCTCACTGGGTGGCAATTATCAGGCAGCACATCTTCCCGATTCTCAAAAGAATTAAACTGCCGGTTGACAGTAATCAATATTTTCATAACACAAGGCAATACTTTTTGAACACTAGACAAGTGGAACTGTCCAGTGGTATATAAATTTTAACATCACAAAGAAAGAAAGGCGTCCAAGAGCATAAGGCTCCCACACTTGGACAGGTCTGCGGAGGGTAAGATGTATGCAGCCTTATACTTGACTGCAAAGAGACTATTCCAATCAATATACCAAAGAGAGGGGGAAAAAAGAATGGAAAACAGAAGGATGATATATCAGGGTTAGAAAGAAGCCAAAGGTGCTCACTGCTACTCTAACATAGTACATCCATAATATAGAACTAAACCAAGTAATAAAACATCCATAGTACATCTATAATATAGAATTAAACTAAGGTAATAAAACATCCATAGCAAATAAGTCACATGTGATATGGATACAAATGGAGTTTCCTATAGCAACCTGCTCAGCATAATTTTGTGGAAGAGATTCAAGTGTGCTGTTACTAAGCTCCGTTGAAAGCTCATAGCAGCGCAGATTGTTATTGATCTGATACAAATAATATGACATAAAATTTTAGACTGTTACCTTGTTGCATGTATATGATCTTAAAAAAAAAAGTAATCATAAAGCTTGGTTCTACTAAACGAGCCACAAACCATGGCACAAAGAGGTTCCAAACCAATCTCAGAAGCAGGTTCCTCAAGCCTGTGTCTTTGAGCTGCCTGAAAATCGATCATTACCTAGAGGAAAAAGAACAGAAAGGAAACTATGGTCAAATAGAGAATGCAGGTATTTCTTCTAAGATAAGAAAAACACATGCCCGAATCTTAAACACAAATAAAGCCACAATGTTATCATTTAATGTTTTAATTTGATTATGATATTATTTGATGCACCAGTCTCTGTAAATGAAATGCTGTTATTTTTTTAATTATTTTCCCTGTAAAAGGAGGACTCTGTTCTGCCTGTCTGAGTTTAGTGACCAACAGAAAATATATATCCCTCACTCCAGACTATTATAATCTAGTTTCTCTATGCTATATGTCATCAGTTTGTGCCTTCCACTCCACAGTTCCTCTTCCATCTGGATCACCCGAACCAGCAAGATAACAAATGAAAGAAGCAGCTAATTATATGACTAATGGACCTTTCAACAACAGATATATCTTTCTTGTTATTTAGCTTCTTCCAGTAAACTTGTGTCCGGTTCTCTCTTTTTTCCCCTTGTTAGTGGTTTCCAGACTTACACCGTATCTTCAAAGACTGGACATTATCATTGATATAATTTTTACGGACTGGAGTTCGATCACTGATTTTTTTAAGAAACTGTTAAGTACGTTTTGTTCAGTTAGAGTGATCAACATTTCCTATTTTTGGATGTAGGTAAGTCGAATCACATTAAATCACAAGTCTCTCTTCTTGTTTACTTCTGTTCGTTAAGCTTTCAACCTAAGCCCATCTCAGTTTATTGGTCATGCACTCAAGTCATATCTGAAACTTGGAAACTTGGCCAATAATAAACTAATTTTAGCTACCTGCAATAAAAAAATTTAAAGAAAAGATATTCTTGTATTGAAGATGAGATATATTCGCATAACAGGACACTTACCTTCTTTATATAAATTTTGCAAGAACTTTTTTTTTAAATGTTGATGCATATTTCACAGATATATGAACTTATTAAATCGTGAAATGAACATGATCTTCTTATATCCAACTATAAGAGCCACAATAATCATGAGCAAAATAATAAGATCACTTAGACTAACAGTCTCTTAAGCTTTCTTTGTAACAAAACTTTGCTTAGATGTAAGTGTAGCAAGTACTCATTTGATTGAGCAATCCAATTTCAAATGTTTTAAACCCTGTTGCCAATAATAACTGAGATAAGAAATTAAAAAGTTTGGGGAAAAAGGATACAGAAGCTTGAGATATTGAGAAAAGGAAAGCACAAGGCAGAAACAAATAGACTGAAGTAAGACAATAAAACTACTGCAAGAGCATACAATGAAAAGCATTGCATAGAATATCATGTAGTAGGACAAAGACCAAAAGCAAACATCTGCCTGCCTGAATTAGTGAAAGAGCAGTTCTGTACAGCATGACATCGGTGCTGTTATCCCGTACAATCTGCACCTGCTCTGTTAAAATTCTAAAAAGGTCAACAGCTGCTGGAGTGTATAGTCTGCCATCTTCTGTTTTCTTCGGTGGTTGTACCTTGTCAGCCTCCAGGATATTTGTATACCATTTCTACAGTAAACCATATTAAACACACTAAATTCAGATAGCTAGCTCAGTATGACAATCTGTTAAACTTAAAGATTACATGATGAGATGACAACCTTGAGTGTTTCTTGCATCCTTTCAACATAAGCATTCATAAGTGGATCCATTGAGCCACTTTCAGAACAAACTTGAGCTAAAGCATCATCAACGCCTAGGCTAATCAGATTTTCTTGGTATTCAACAACCCACCCAGTGACCTACAAGAGATTAAACCACTCAAACATATTTAATAGAACCTCTTGACCTTGTAATTCAGATTAGACACGTAAAGAAGACATATAATGGGTTCTAATTGTAAGGCATCCATGTCATATAAAATTACCAACATGTGATAAATGAATACGGCAATAAACTCCAGGACCCAGTCAAATTTCACTACCTTTAATATTTCTAAATTTGTCAACTTATCAGCTCTGTCGCTGAGCTGCCTAAGCATTTGAATAAATCTTTCAGTATATAGATTAACCATCAGCTGAAAAATCTCATACCTGCTTGCAAAGAAAAGAATTGTCAGATCCATATCAACAAAATAATCATTATATATATTGTATGTATGTTCAATAAAAAAACAATGAGAGCATAGGAAAATGGGTAAGAAAATTCATTTGGACCAGTCAGTGGAAACCATTTGATGCAAGTGAGTTCATGAAAATCAGGAAAACAGGCAGAAGCATACAAGAGTTACCATGACATCATGTATTGATCGTGGCTGATATACCTCATCCCTCTTCCAAACAGAAAGTTATTGCTATATTATTTACTAATGATTCTACATGTACTAAAATACTAAACTGCTTCCCTTTATTTTGGTATATCAAGTCAGTTTCTTTCTTTCATATTCTGTAAGTCCCTAACCTCATTATGTTAGGCATCTTGAATATACCAAAGGCACCTTCTTATTTGACATCCCTGTTGTGTCCAGCACTGACTAGTAGACACGGAGGATTTCTTAAAATATGGACCATTTGTATACAAGGTAGGGCCACTTTTTAACTTCTACTTCTCCTTTAATATATGGCATCAGAAAGTTGAACAGCGCTTCCAAAATTCAGACTTATATTACCTTGTCATCAAGATCCAACAACTTCCAAAGTCTACTAAGGAATTGGAAGAAAAGAACTCTAATTCCAAAGTCAGTAGCTCAATCAAGCAGGAGGAATAAACAAACATTTGGCATTTTGGACAACTTAAGTGATTTTTACGTGACTGGCGAAGAACTTGGCATCTATGGACAATTTGCACTTCTAAATATTGTTACAAGTTTTAGGACACCTAAGAGATCCTACGTACCGATAAGGCAACATTTTTTTATTCTACAAAGGGATGACGTACATCATTCAAAGAGTTTCCTTTTACCTGAATGGGAGATAAATTGTAAGATGAAGGTGAAATAAATAACAAACTGTGGATGTATTACAACATTGGATCAGAGAACTACAGGACAGGTGTGATGAATTGAGAATATAAGATGAGAATGGCACACAACACGATGATGAAAATGCATAGGACGTGTATACATTACAGAAAGGACTTCAAAAGTTGAAGACAAAAATTCTGGCAAATAGCGGGAAGAGGAAACAGCTAAAGCCTTTGTACAAATGTTACAAAGACCAACACAAAGAAGGTTTACAGTCACTA